CCATTTTCGAGATGTTTAATATGGAGAACGTCATACAAGAAGCCACAAGACAAACAATAACATCAAGCTCCTTAATTGATCTTATTGTAACCACAAGAAAAGATCTTGTCAGCGCTACAGGTGTATCCCCTTTGGGGATATCGGATCATAACTTAATATATGCGACTATTCGGCTTAAGAACAAAAGACCGCCACCAATAATAGTCAAAACAAGAGATTACAAAAGAATGGATACACGCGACAGGTTAATGATTAATGATAACATGTAGTTTTCATGAAATTAGAAGATCCTCGCAGCTAAGAACACTACTGAAACTAGTAGTTGTAAGTAGGACCTGAAAAAAATTTCAGGCCCGTACGGGATTTGAACCCATGACCTCTGCGATACCGGTGCAGCGCTCTACCAATTGAGCTAACAAGCCAACTGGGAGCTGGTCAATGAATTGGGTACAAATAAACATCCGAGTGAATGAAGATTTAGATATATGAAAATTCACATATTTGCACTGCGGTACGGGCCTGAAATTTTTTTCAGATCCTACTTACAACTACTAGTTTCAGTAGTGTTCTAAGCTGCGAGGATCTTCTAATTTCATCTTTCCACCGCAGTGCAAATATGTGAATTTTCATATATCTAATTCTTCATGTAGTTTTCAGTTTTTGGTTTATATCGTCTCGTTTCCCAAAAGGGTTTACCGCCGTCTATAAGACCTCCTACCGCCGTCTGTTTAGCCTGGTAGCAGGTTCTGTTGCGAGCGTTTCGACTTATGCACCTTTTACGCCTTTAATGGGCATAGCCGCCGGGCATCGTGGCGCATTTCTTGGGCTACATTTTTTTAGCGGGCTAAAATGTATTACAGATCGCTAGCTTGTTTGCGTGATTGTTCCCACTGTTTTATTGTCATTTTTGTTGTCACTTTCCAGTTTTTTCTTTTTTTTTCTCAATGCCCTTCAAAGTGATAACAATTTAATAATAATTGTAACACAGTGTTAAGTCATTCGGAAAAAATATCCTTTTAACTCTCGCCCAGCGGCTCGGGCTGAAATGACTCTGTGTCGCGCCCAAAAGATAATTCATACCTGCCAACATTAACTCTATTACTTTTTCAATTTTATTTTGTTTTCTTTACGCCGTCGGAATCCGGTTGTGGAAAAAATTACTAACACTCGCTTGTCATGCTCGTTTTTTTAACGGTTATCTATCTATAGAACAGTCGCACTTTTCCACAGGTTTATAAAGGTTGGATTACAAGGCTTGTCGAAAAGTCAAAGCCTTCCTTAACAGCCAAATTTCATCTGAAACCAGAATAATTTATTTTGTTATTTTTTTGGCTTCTATAGCGCTACCTAGCTGCCACCTTTCCCGAGTATATTACGCTTTGCTTAACCGCACTAAGCAAGAATAGGGACGATCGCATTGTTATTTCACACAAACTTTTCAGTCGCGACATGCAACAACTTACCCACGAAACAAACTGCGTATGACTCATGACACGTGAACTGAGACAGTAAGATTTTCCTATGGACGAATTCGAGTCCTATTTGTCTTAAGCTTCTGTACATGGCAAATTAAAGAGCGATTTTTTCCCGTGATATTCGAGACGCCTTCCCCTGATTAATCACGCCTTTCAAGGAGGAAGAGTCATGCACTGACTGACATCCATTTATACGTGGCAAAATATCTTATAATACACCAATAGGGCCGGTAATTAACACGAGGTCT